AGCTGTTAGTGTGTTTGAACTGTCGATCTTGAAGTTAGCAGACCAGAGCTCCTTACTCATGATTCAAGTTAGTAACAAAACATAAAATCAAAAGTGTAAAAGTCTTTCCTCATGTTGCAAGTCTTTGAGAGAGAACCTGCATTTACCCATAAAGCTACAGGATGCAGTGAGCATAATCCACCACTTTTGTGTCCTATCATCTCTTAAATTCTCGAAAGACATTTCCCTGTTAACTCTGGACTTTTCTATTTCTCAGGAGCAAATCCTAATGATGACTGGCTTCCATAGAATTTAGGAATTATAGACCCTGGTCTTCATGTCATCTTTGTTGTTGTTTTGTGCCGTAGAGTTGGTTCCAACTCATAGCAACCCTGTACAGGGTTTCCGAGGCTGTAAATCTTTACAGGAGCAGAAAGCCTCATCTTTCTCCCGCAGAACAGCTGGTAGTTTCTAACTGCTGACCTCGCAGCTCACAGCCTGATTCATAACCACTACAATTGTGTAGGTGATAATTAATTCAAGGTAAATATAGAGATCATCTGAAGTACAGATTTGATACATTAAACACTAAAGACTTAAGACCAGAAGAGTTGTGGGATGATATCAAGAATATCATACATGAAGAAAGCATGAAGAAGACAAGAAAGAAGGAAAAGATCAAAATGGATGTCAGAAGAGACACTGAAACTTGCTCTCCAGCGTAGAGATGCTAAAGCAAATGGAAGAAATGAAGAGGTACAAGAGTTCAAAAGAAAATTTCCAAAATCAGCTCAAGAAGACAAAGTCAAATATTGTAACGAAATGTGCAAAGATCTGGAGTCAGAAAACCAAAAGGGATGAACACGCTCAGCATTTCTCAAGCTGGGGGAACTGAAGAAAAAATTCAAGCCTTGATTTTTGTTATTGAAGGAATCTCTGTGCAAATTATTGAATGATGCATAAAGCATCAAAAGAAGATGGAAGGAATACACAGAATCACTGTACCAAAAGGAAATGGTTGATGTTCAACCATTTCAAGAGGTAGTATATGATCAAGAGCCAATGATACTGAAGGAAGAAATACAAGGTGCGTTGAAGGAATTTACAAGGCACCAGGAATTGATGGAATAAAAATTGAAATCTTTCAAGAAAGTGATGCGTACAGGAGGCATTCACTCATCTATGCCAAGAAATTTGGAAGAAGTCTGGACGACTGATTGGAAGAGATCTGTATTTGTGCCCATTCCAAAGAGAGGTGACCCAATGGAATGCGGAAATCATCGGACAATCTCTTTGATACCTGTGTGAGTAAAATTTTACTAAAGGTAATAATGAAACAGCTGCAAGCATACATTGATAGAGAACTTCCAGAGGTTCAAGTCAGATTCAGTAGATGATGTGGAATGAGGGATATCATTGCTGATGTCCTATGGATCTTGGCTGAAAGCAGTGAATACTAGAAAGATGTTTACCTGTGCATTATTGACTACGCAAAGGCTTCGATTGTGTGGATCATGACAAGCTATGGACAATATTGCGAAGTGTAAGTATTCTGGGACACTTAATTCTGCTCATGAGGAATCTGTACATGGACAAAGAGGCAGTTGTTCGAACAGAACATGGGAACACTGAATGGTTTAAAATTAAGAAAGGTGTGCGACAGGGTTGTATTCTTTCACCATATTTACTCAACCTGTATGCTGAGCAAATAATCCAAGAAGCTGGGTTATATGATGAAAAACATGGCATCAGGATTGGAGGAAGACTCATTAACAGCCATGCAGATGATACAACCTTGCTTGCTTGAAAGTGAAGAGGATTTAAAATGTTTATTGATGAAGATCAAAGAGCATAACCTTCGGTATGGATTGCATCTCAATGTAAAGGAAACAAAAATCCTCACCACTGGACCAATAAACAACATTCTTATCAATGGAGAAAAGATTGAAGTTGTCAAGGACGTCATTCTTAATTGGATCAACCATCAACACTCATGGAAGCAGCAGTCAAGAAGTGAAATGATGTATCGCATTAGGTAAATCTGCTGCACAAGACCTTTTTAAGGTGTTGAAGAGCAAAGATGTCAGCTTGATGACTAAGGTGTGCCTGACCCCAGCCATGGTATTTTTCAATAACCTCATATGCATGTGAAAGCTGGAAGACTGTAGAAGAATTGATGCTTTTGAGTTATGGTGTTGGAGGAGAATACTGAAAGTGCCATGGGCTGGCAAAAGACCCAACAAATCTGTATTGGAAGAAGTACAGCCACAGTGCTCTTTGGAGGCCAGGATGGCCAAACTTCATCTCTCATACTTCGAACATATTGTCAGGAGGGACCAGTTGCTGGAGAAGGGTATCATGTTTGGTAACGTGGGGGGTCAGAGAAAAAGAGGAAGACCTCCAGTGAGATAAGTTGGCAAAGTGGCAGCATAAATGGGCTCAAGCGTGGCAACAATTGTGAGGTTGGCCCAGGACCAGGCAGTATTTCGTTCTGTTGTGCATAGGGTCGCTATGAGTCGGAACCAAATCAATGGCACCTAACAACAACAACAACAAAGAAAAATAGAACTGGATTTACAGTGCAGAAAAAATTAGGTTAAATATAAGGGACATTTTGTAGAGAACTTGTATCAGTCAGGGTCCCAGCAGGAAATACCAGCTTATCAGTTGACATTGAATTCATTCCGATTCATGGCCAACCCATTTGTGTTTGAGTAGAACTAGGCTTCATAGCGTTCCAGTGGCTGATGTTTTGGACGTAGATTGCCAGGCCTCTCTTCTGAGGTACCTTTGGGTGGACTTAAACCTCCAACCTTTTGGTTATAAGTTAAGGGTGTTAACCATTTGTACAATCCAGGGAGTCCATCAGCAAATATGGCACAACAGAATTAGGATAATTTAATAAGAGGCCAATGAAGGAACTATTTACAAAGCTCTATTTAAGGTGAGTCCTGGTGTGGCACTGCGGGTTAATGCACTGGACTGCAAGGTCAGTTTGAACCACAAGGTCGGCAGTTCAAGCTCACCACCAGCCGTTCCTTGGAAACCCTATACAGGGTTGCTATGAGTCAGAACCGACGCGACAGCACTATCAACAAATACAATGTGAGGACTCCTGGTGTGGTGCTGTAGGATCAGTACTGGACTGTGAACCACAAAGTTGGCAGTTCAAACCTACCAGTTTCTCCTCAGAAACCCTATACAGGGTCACTGAGTTGGAATTCGAGTTGGCAGCACTTAACAACAATGAAAGGTGTGTGGGACAATGAGACTTTTACTTTTCCTGAGTCTGAAAAAGAAGAGGGTCTAGAAGTCAGACGTGTGAAGAGTCTGGAAGTCAGAGCCATATATGAAGATATATTAAGAGGCTACAGCTTATATTGGAGTTCTGGTGTAGTGTCTGCTCAATAAGCATTGGACTGCTAACCATTGACTTGACAGCACATAACAACAGCAGCTTATATTGTGTGGTGCTGTAGATCAGCACTGGACTATGAACCATAAGGTCAGCAGTTCAAACTCACCAGTTATTCCTCGGAAACCCTATACAGCGTCGCTATGAGTTGGAATGTACTCGAAGACACTTAGTAACGTGTCTTTGAAAGGACCCAAGCAGCCAGTTCCTGCAGAAAGAAATCAGGAGACTAACTTGACAAATACTTAAACAACCATTGCTATGAAGTCCATTCTGACTCATGTTGTTGTTGTTGATATTGTTAAGGGCCATCGAGTCGTTTCCGACTCACAGCGACCCAGTATAGGTTTTCTGAGGAGTAGCTTATCCTATAGTGTCATACCTGGACTCCATTCTGCTTCACAGTGGCCTTGTAGGACCAAGTAGAACTGCCCCATAGTTCTTAGACTGTAACTTTTTCTGGAGCAGATTGCTACAGCGAGGTTTCTCCACAGCGAGGCTGGTTGGTCAGCAGGTGAGCTGTTAACCACTATGCTTCCAGGGCTTCTCTCATGACTTTATTGTTTTTACCCCCAGCTTCTAGCAATTGTTGTTGTTGTTGTTAAGTGCCATCGAGTCGGTTCCGACCCATAGCAACCCTGTATATGGTTTCCTAGGAGCAGCTGGTGAGCTTGAACCGCCGACCTTGCAGTTCATATGGCTTTGCAATCTGACACATTAACCCACAACGCCACACCAGGACTCCTCTAGCAATTGGATACCAATAAAAAAAACCTCTTTTCCATGCATTTGCATTATATGTACAATGGCTCTCTGTTGCTGGAATTATTTGAAAGTTGACTTTATTTGTAGAACAAGAAGAAAAACCAATTAAAGTATTTTAAAATTTGGGTCCAATTTTAACCTTTGGATTTAAACTTTTTCTTGAGAAAGTCTGGAGCTCTGGTGGCATTACGGATTAAGCTTTGGACTGCTAACCAGCAGGTCGGCAGTTCAAACCCACCAGACTCACAAGAAAATTAAGCTGTCTGCTCCCATAAAGATTTATGGTCTTAGAAACTCTATACAGGATCATTGTGAGTCAAAATTGAATTGATGCCTGTGAGTCAATTCAAAGATGTCAGCTTGAGGACTAAGACACCAGTTTCCTTTGAAATTTTTTTCAAAAAAGAAAAGTTCAGGTACCTAAAATGTAGTGCTCTTAGGGACAGTTTGAAACTCCAAACATCCTTACAAAAACCATCGCTGGCGCTTTCTGCTCACGTTTTCTGGTGTGATACATTTGATTTTGGTGAACATCAACATTATAGAAGAATGTGACCTACTATGGCTTGTGTTTATGGTGAACAGTTTTCAGCTGAGCTTCAGGACTAGGACAGACAAGGAAGAAAAAACTCCGACCAATTACTTCTGAAAATGAGCCAGTGAAAATCCTACGGTTCACAACAAAATATGGATGAACCCTCCTAGATTGAAGGCGCTTAAAACATACAATGATCACAGTGTTGTTGAGTGTTGTCGAGTTGATTCGGTCTCATAGCGACTCTGTCTAGGGTTTCCAAGAAGCGCCTGATAGGTTTGAACCACCGACCTTGAGATCGTAAGGATGACGCAGGACTGGGTAACATCTTCTGTTGTAAATGGGGTTGCCATGAGTCGGAGCTGTGTGGTGCTTTGGGTTAATGCACTGGACTGCAAAGTCAGTTTGAATCGCAAGGTCGGTGGTTCAAGCTCACCAGCTGCTCCTTGGAAACCCTATACAGAGTCACTATGGATTGGAACTGACTCAACTGTACTTAACAACAACATACACATAACAAGGAATGTTTTCAGTGTAAAGTTGAGTGTTTTTACTTGTAAGCTGTCGAATTTTCTTTCAGGCTGGCTTGGTCTCTTTCCTGCTTGTGGTCCTGGGTGAATTTTGGTGATTGTTCACATTTTCTGCGTTGTTTTAGCAAAGCCAATCACTCTCTCTCTGAACTCCTTAATTTCCCCAGGTTCCACAAATATCCTAGAGCACCCCACTTTTCTACTTGATCCCCAGAACTCAGAAAAAAAGAATAGAATGTCTCAGGGAATGAAGTTAGGGAATTGGAGACTATTTTCAAAGAGAGAAATAGGACTTGAAATTATTGGGAAGACTTGAGACTCAGTGGCTTTTCTCAGCATTTAAAATATTCTAAAATGTTTTTTTAAAAAAAGTGTTGATGTTAAAAACATAGCTTTTAAGTTTTTTCTAGGAAGAGAATGAGATTTTTTTTTTTCTGTTTTATTGTGAATTATGTCATAGTTTACATGGGAGAACATTAGTTTTACATTCATCCTATTGTATATCGTTTCATTGCCATGGTTACAATGAGATTTATTTTTTAATTCAGTCAAAACTGCCTCTGAAGTTTGCTGCTGTTTGTCTAACTGCCCATTTTTCCTCTTGCCATTTCAGGTCAACCTCTTTGTGTTGCTCTCTGTGGTTTGTGTCCTCCTAAATCTAGCTGGATTTATCCTTGGCTGCCAAGGGGCTCAGTTTGTGGCCAGCGTGCCCAGGTGTGATCTGGTAAGCAGTGAGTCCTAAAACACCACCATGAATCCAGGCAGACCCTGCCTGTCTGGCTTTCTTTGAGTGCCAGTAGGTGGCTGGCAGTAGTCCTGAAGTGAAATTTGAGTTTGGTTAAAAGAAAGGGGAAAACAAAACAAAGAACTGCCCACTAGTTATTTTATTCAGGTTGATTTTTCCTAAAGGAGGGGCCTGCCAGCTTAAGTAACACCCTGAGTTGTTGGTGTGTGAGTGAATACCCTCAAAGTACAGGTCAGCAGCCCTCCATCCCACAGAGCAGCTGGGGGGTTTAAACTGCTGACTTTTCTGTTAGCAGCTAGGCACTTTAACTGATGCACTACCAGGGCTCCACATTTGGACTAAGGAATCAAACATGTTCCAAAGATGAAGGAACTTAAAAAAAATCTTATACCACATTTTATTGACGTTGACATGAAAAAGGTTGGGGGTGTGGTGGAAGGAACAGTGTTTATATCATAACAATTTATCCTAAAATATAGCTTCTAGCCCAGCCTTGGTGTGTCTATTACCTGAAATGGACTGAATTCTTCAAAAGAACACAATGCAAAACAAGTCTTTACTGATTATCAAGATTATTATTTGACTTAAAGGTGATATTTAGGAGTCTAGCCTGATCAAAACTCTAAGTTCAAAACATCACCTCAGGGCCACAGCCTAGGTGAGTCACCTAGGAATCTGTATTCCGGGAGAATCAACACTGTTTCTCAGTAGAAAGAAAAGTCATTTCTTTCCAAGAAGTTTATCACGAGGCAAGGGGAGGATAGTTAAGCATGGTGTTTGTGGAGTGAATGCGTGAGTGTCCCACTGGGAATCCAGGTGAGCTGTGACAGACAGAAGCCATCAGAGAGCAAGTGCTCAGGAGACGCTAATGAAGGACTCGTCCCCAGAGGAAGATGAGGAAAGGCTACCAGGTGTACCTATAGTTGGGATGGACCTTGAAAAATTAATAAATAAGGGAGAGGTGGAAACCAAGGGAGGTGAGACATTTAGGCACAGTTGTGGTCAAATATTAGCCCTACCGGTTAGATGAGTTTGAGACAACAGAAGTCCACATTCAAGAGGTGAAGGGCATAGATGGCTTTTCTTTCTTTTTAAATATTTTATTGTGATTTATGTGATAGTTTACATGGGAGAACATTAGTTTTGCATTTTTCCTATTGTATATCATTTCATTGTCATGGTTACAATCTCCTCCATTCATCATCAACCAACCAAAGGGTAGACCCTGCAAGCCTGCCCCCACCCCTCCACCCCCGGTCATCAGCACACAGCCCTCCTCCCTCTCTGGGTCTGAAGTCCCCAGCCACTCCATCTCTCCATGTCATCGTCTCTGCCTCCGTCTCTGGCATCACTGCTTCTCTGGGCAGGGTCTCGCTCTGCTCTTCTCCCTTCATGGTCCCAGGGACCTCTGCTCCTAGACTGAAAAGTTAATCACTCCCCTCCTTGCTATAAAATATCTAACTTTACATTTCCAACCCTCACAATCAGTCCTGATAACAAGTATTCACTACTGTATCACAAGACACCTATCCGCATTTCCTTTCATCAGCCCCACCTAGACAGATTGGATACTACTCAGTGGAGATTCTACCTTCCTCCAGGCCCTCTGGATCTAGGTTCCCTCTTGAAAGCTTGTGAGCCAGCCAGTCACTTCTTGCCTTTGTAGCTGCCCTCCCCCCCGCCCCCTTTGCATAGCCAATGTCCAAGTTGCCCATCCCTGTCTACTCTGTGTATGGAGGGGCTGGGAATGATTCTTGCTGTAAAGATTTATTCTCTCTTTTGAGCTACTGCATCCATAGGTATAGATCAAGTTCATCAAATTGTATCAGATTTTTTTCCTCCTTTCTTCTTCTAATTGAGCTCTGATCATCCAGTCATCGAAGCCAGGTCAAGTGGGTGTTCTTGTGCATATGCCATCTCTTCTTATCAGCTGGATGCTTCATTCTCCACTCTAGTCCTCTGTGACTATGTCACTGACTCTGGGCCCAAGAGTCCCCAGGTCTTACCATACTGCTGGCCAACCAGGTCTCCACCTGGGTTTACAGGAGTCTATTGAAGTTGTAGGGCTTAGCTCGCAGCTTCATTGCTGTTTTTTCCCTCACTTCCTCTTATCAGTGACGGACGTGGTCACCAATCAGAGCGTGTTTTCCCACTGAGTCTTAGTCTTGGAAGGGGTTTTGCTCTGAGGGGACCCAACCACTTGCCTTGATGTCTCCTGGGCGAGCAACTTGCTTGTTCTTATAGTAATCAGTCAGTCTGCCTATATTGTTTTTATTTTTCCTATCAGTCTTTCTTTCAAGAAGTATCTTCTATTCTTCTAGCCCCTCCAGGCTGGTCTGCCTGTCCTTTCAAGTGGAAATTTCCCACCTCTGAAGATTCTGGATGCTGTTCAGGATTCTACCTATAGTCTTATGTAATGTAAAGGCTCCACAGGAAGCCTCTGTCATTGGGCATGTTGTAGCCCCATTTTAGGTATTCCAATCAGTTATAGGCAGAAGACGGACTTACAAGCTTTCTATGGTGGTATTTCTGGCTATTCCTTTCTCTCCCCCTCCAGTGTCTATTTTATAATGGTATGCAAGGGAAACCAAGATTCAAAAGACAGCCAAGCATCTTAATATATTTCTCCCCTTTTGCCCATTCCAACCATGTATCAATCCCTGTATCCCAGAGCCCTGTTGTCCCAAGGTTGTGTATACATCATTCTTTACCTCTGTCCCACTTAGCCCATATAAACCTGCCTAATTATTCTCCCATCCACTTTGTTCTTCCATTCCCCTCTTGTATATTGCCCCCCTCCCCAGCACCCAAACTAGCCTGTGTCTATTCCCTGCCCTGTGCTCCACCTTCCCCTCCATCCCCTCACCCCAACCCCTCACATCCCAGCAACCAGCAAAGAATCCCCCCCACTTAGTATGGGTTCTTTTTCTTAGTCTTTTACAGTAGTGGTCCTATGCAGTATTTCTCCTTTTGTGACTGACTAATGTCACTCAGCATAATGTCCTCAAGGTTCATCCATGTTATGTGGTGACTTGCAGTTTCCTTGTTGTTCTTCAAGGTAGCATAGTATTCCATTGTGTGTATGTACCACAGTTTGTTTATCCATTCTTCAGTTGATGGGCACTTTGGCTGCCTCCATCTTTTTGCTATTGTAAATAGTGCTGCTATAAACATTGGTGTGCATATATCTACTCATGTTATGGCTTGTATTTCTTGTGGGTAAATACCAAGTAGAGGAATTGCTGGATCATAAGGTATTTCTATTTCCAACCTTCTGAGGAAGCGCCATATTGCTTTCCAGAGAGGCTGGACCATTTTGCAGTCCCACCAGCAATGCAGGAGTGTCCCAGTCTCGCTACATCCCCACCAGCATTTATTGTCCTCTACTTTTTTGATCTTTGCTGTTATTGCTGGTGTGAGATGATATCTCATAGTTGTTTTGATTTGCATCTCTCTAATAAGTAGTGATCATGAACATTTCTTCATATGTTTGTTGGCTGCCTGATCTCCTCCTTGGTGACGTGTCTGTTCATGTCCTGTGCCTATTTTTTAATTGGGTTATTTGTCTTTTTCTTGTAGAGGTGTTATAGTTTCCTATCTATTTTAGAAATAAATCCCTTGTCTGATGTATCATTGCAAAAGATTTTTTCCCATTCTGTGGGTTCCCTTTTGATTCTTCTGGTGAAGTCTTTTGATGCACATAAGTTTTAAATTTTTAGTATGTCCCACTCATCTATTTTGTCTGCTTTTGTTTGTGTAGTTTTTCAAAATGTTTTGTAGTCTGTGTATTCCCTGAATTAGTGCCCTCACATTGGTTCCTATTTTTTCATTGATGGCCTTCATAATTCTGGGATTCACATTTAAGTCTTTAATCCACATTGAGTTGGTTTTTGTATAAGGTGTGAGGTGAAGGTCATGTTTCAATCTTTTGCATATAGCTTTCCAGTTCTGCCAGCACCATCTGTTGAAGAGACTGTCACCTCCCCATGCGATATATTTAGGTGTTTTGTCAAAAATCAGTTGACTGTATGTAGATGTGTTGATTTCTGGATTGTCAATTCTGTTCCATTGATCTATGTATCTTTCATTGTACCAGTACCAAGCTGTTTTGACCACTGTAGCCATATAATAAATTTTGAATGGGGAGTGAGAGGTTTTCAACCGTATTTTTCTTCTTAAGCAGTGCTTTGCTTATCCTAGTCTCTTTCCTTTCCATTTAAAGTTTGTAATTGTTTTTTCCATCTCTTTGAAGAATGTTGTTGGAATCTGGATTGGGATTGCAGTATATGTGTAAATTGCTTTGGGCAGTATTGACATTTTCACAATGTTAAGTCTTCCTATCCAGGAGCATGGTACATTCTTCCATTTTTGTAGGTCTCTTTTGGTTCTTGTAGTAGTGTTTTGTAGTTTTCTTAGTATAAGTCCTTTTTTTCTCTGGCTATGTTTAGTCCTAGTTATTTCATCCTTTGGGTGGCTATTGTAAATGGTATTGCTTTCCTAATAACCTTTTCAATGCTGTCATTTTTGGTATAGAAGAATCCAACTGAGTTTTGTATGTTGATCTTATATCCTGCCACTTTGCTGAATCTTCCAATGAAGTTTAAGTAGCTTTTTTTTTT